AGTCTCTTAGTACAGGTATTGTTCCTACTATCTGGAAGCGTGCATTTATCACGCCTGTCCATAAAAAGGGTTCCAAGACCGAAGTTACTAATTATCGACCGATTTCCAAGTTGTGTATTGTATCTAAAGTGTTTGAACGAATTATATATAATCAATTATACGCGGTCCTAAAACATTCATTCAATCCGACTCAACATGGTTTTTAAGAGGACGCTCTACTGTTTCAAATCTTGCGCTCTTTAATGCATTTTTGACTGAGGCAATGGACAATCACCACCAGGTAGATGTCGTTTATACCGATTATAGTAAAACCTTTGACAGAATACATCATAATTAGCTATTGCTGAAACTGTCCAAGATCGGTATAAACGGCGATCTGCTTAGGTGGCTTACGTCTTATATAAATAATCGATCACAAGCTGTTGCGTCAGCAACTACATATCAGGATGGGTAACTTTTCCAAACGGGGTGCCACAGGGCTCACTGCTGGGTCCGTTATTATTTGTTATTTTTATCAATGACATTACCTATTACCTGAAGAAAGCTCGCTTATTATGTTTTGACGATGATATGAAGCTATTTATGAAAATAACATCAATTGAGGATGCTGAGGCTCTACAAGAAGATCTGTCAAATCTAGAGCGTTATTGTCACCTATACTTCTTAGATTTGAACCCTTCGAAATGTAGCTTTATGTCCTATAGTCGCAAATATAAACCGATTGTCTTTAACTATAAAATGAAAGGTGAAAATCTTAAAAGGGATTCCATTGTTGGAGATCTCGGTGTTCTTCATGATTCCAAATTGATATTTGAGGTTCACTTAGGAAGCATTATAACCAAATCCACGAAAGCTCTTGGATTTTTGATACGTAGCTCTAGGGACTTCACTAAAGCTAAAACTCTAAAGATCCTATATTGTTCTCTTGTAAGAAGTAATTTGGAGTACGCATCTCAAATCTGGAATCCCAGGTATGCAACATATATTACCCGACTTGAAAATATCCAAAGTAAGTTTATGCGTTACCTCTGTTATAGAACCAATGACTATCGCTATACCTCTGATAATTATATTAGTTATTGTAAAAAACATCACCTACTTCCTCTTGCTATGCGTCGTGAGATTGCTGACCTCACTTTTCTGTTAAAAATAGCTTGTAGTGCTTATTGACTGTCCTGGGCTTTTATCTCAACTACATGTTAGCTGTCCTGCCAAACCTCTTAGACATAACAAAATTTTAAGTCTCCCGTTTGCATCTACAAATTATAGGCAAAATACATTTATATGGCTAGCGAGCAATAATTTCAATAAGCTAGCCAATGAGTTTGACTTCGATTTGTTTAACACTAGTGCTGCGTCAGCTAGGCGCATACTTAATAATGCATTTTTGGTAGCTCTAAGTAAGATTTGTATTTGTGTTTATTTTTCTGTTAAAATAGCTTGTAGTGTTATTGACTGTCTTAAGTATGAGTTGATTGTCTTTTATATGTATAATACAAGTTTAGCCCCCATTTGGCATAAATATGTTGTATTGGATACTTTCAAGTGTTAAATCGTGTTTGTCATTGTTGTAAATTCACCTTTGCATCTATTAGTGAGGATCTTTAATTGGCTTACTGTTGTTATTAGTGCTATCTATCCTAATTACGATAGCTGTTGGTCTTCCAAATAAAAATAAATAAATAAAATAAGTATAGGTGACAAATGTGACAAACGAGCACACAGTCCATGTGATGGTAAGTGGTTGCTGTGGCCCTTAGACATCTACATCTATCCTCGACTACGAATCAAAATGCAGATACGTTGTTACCCATAAGCTAAAATGGAATGCCTCGTTTCCAGTAAAAAGGGTCTCCGGTTCTCTACACTCACCATACGAAACACAGCAGCATTAAGCTACTATTTTACGCTGGTATTCTGTGAGAGTGTGGTCCCTCCCCGGTCGAGCCGACCCGTTCATACTACAACTATACCACTAATATAACTGCAGCATGGCTCTACCATGTATAAACTTGCTGTCCTTGCCAGATAGTTTTTATTGTTTTGAGGTATTATCAAAGTCTACTACTGTCTACTACTGAATATAGGATTTCCCCGTAGATTACCTCATGAGGGGTAGATAACAATCACATTATTTTACTATTTTAGTTGTTTTAGGAATACACTACTGTTTGTCTCTTAGTTTGTTTCCCTTCTTCAACTTACAACATCTACGAGACAATATGGGGTAGTGGATATTCGTACACTGCCCCTACACACTCAGATAGTTTACTATTAATGAAAAGAAACAATAATAATAATAATATTAAAATAATAATAATAATATAAGGATAAGAAGGGATATATTCCAGGGCGACTGTCTGAGTCCAATCTGGTTCTGCCTCTCTTTGAACCCTCTCAGTACTTTACTGGAGGGCTCCGGGAGGGGATTTCAGCTTCGGAAGGGAGGTACAAAAGTGACCCACCTTTTCTATATGGATGACCTCAAATTATTCGCCTCCAGTCGCTCCCATCTTATGGAATTGCTAAACATCACTTGTGAATTTAGCAATTCTATTGGAATGGAGCTGGGGACGGATAAGTGTGCGGTCCTCCATGTTGAAAGGGGAAGAGTTGCTAACTCTGAGGGCATAGACTTATCTATGCCCGTCAACTTAAGGGCCCTTTCCGAGGCTGAAACATACCGATACCTGGGTATGTCACAGAACATCGGTATCGATGAGGCTGGTATGAAACAGTCAGTTTGCGACGTGTTTTATGCACGCTTGACCAAAGTGCTTAACAGCCTTTTGTCCGGTGTGAATAAGACACATGCATATAACGGTTGGGTCATGCCTGTCCTCATGTATACCTTTGGCATACTCAGGTGGAGTCAGACTGAACTTAACGCCCTGGATAGAAAAGTCCGCACTACAATGACGTCCCATAGGATGCATCATCCGAGATCGTCAGTAATGAGGCTGTACTTGCCGCGAAAGCATGGAGGGCGTGGCTTCCTGAGCGCGCTCACCATGCATAATCACGAAGTATGCAGCCTCCGTCATTACTTCCTGGCGAGATCGGATGATCCATTCTACAATGACGTCATTTCTAGTGATAAAGGACTTACCCCTCTATCCTTAGCCAACGAGCAATGGCAAGACCCGGCAATACAGAGCATTTCCGACCGGGAGACCGTATGGAAGGAGAAGGAGCTCCATGGGAGGTACTAAAGGGCTCTACATGAGCCTCACGTAGATACAGCCGCCTCCCTCAACTGGCTACGTTTCGGTGACCTCTTTGGGGAAACCGAGGGTTTTGTCTGTGCAATACAGGATCAGGTTATTAAGACCAACAACTATCGGAGATACATCCTAAAGGATGGCACTGTCGACGTCTGTCGAGCTTGTCGCCATCCCGAGGAGTCACTTAGGCATGTCATCTCCGGTTGTTCGGCGCTTTCTACTTGCACAGGCACAACCTAGTAGCTAGAATTCTACACCAGGAGCTCGCTCTGAAATACGGTCTCGTGGACCGGAAATTGCCGTATTACAAGTACTTGCCGGAAGCCGTGCTCGAAAATGACTGTGCCAGGCTCTACTGGGACCGGGCCATCATCACAGATAGGACTATTCTTGCGAAAAAGCCTGATATTGTGCTGATGGACCGGGCACAGTCAAGGATATTTTTGATCGACATTACCATTCCGTATGACGAGAACCTCGTGAAATCCGAAACAGATAAACAAACAAAATATCTGGACCTGGCTCACTAGGTGACCGACATGTGGGGTGGTGTGTCGACCGAAATTATTCTTGTAGTCGTCTCTTCGAATGGGCTAATCCCAGTCAGCCTCTCGGGTCATCTGAGGCGACTGGGACTCCGTGACGGACCGCTCCGGGCTCAAATGCAGAAGGCGGTGCTCCTCGATACCGCCCGCATCGTCCGCCGGTTTCTTTCCCTTTCCCCCTAACCCTCGGCCGTTTGGTCTCCCCTGCCGAGGGCTCCCATCTGGTTGGATCTTATTTATTTATGTAGTTTTTGTATTTATTTTATTTTATTGATATATATGTACATTTATCTTTTCATTTTAATTTATAATTATATATTTATAGAACCCAACCAGGTGAGAAAATTATATAGATACCCCAATAATAATATTCCACAACTACTTATCACACAACGCCATCTAGTCCCAAGCTAAGCAGAGCTTGGGTACAGAAATATAAAATTATTTCTAAATACATAAATATTATAGATAAATTACACCCAGACACAGAACAAATGATAGTGCTCATCACACAAGGTGGGAATAGAACCCACGACCTCCGGCATAGCAGTCAGGGTCACTAACCACTAGGCCTGCAATGGAAAGAAACTAAACTAAGCAGTCATTATCATCATCATCATCATCATTATAATACTTCATAAGTCTACTGCTGAACATATCACCTGAAGAATTTCACTAAACATGGTTCAGAGCCTCATACATCCATCAATTAACTGCTCTATCTAATTACTCTCTATCTAGTGGGTATCAGCTCTACACCTCATTTTTTATTTTTTTTATGGAATAAGGGTGACAAACAAGCACACAGTTCACCTGATGGATGGTAAGTGGATGCTGTGGCCCATAGACATCTATGTGCAACCTAAATTAAGAATCAAAATGCAGATGTGTTGTCACCCCTGGGGACTAAGATGGAATGCCTCAGTTCCCGTAAAACAGGTCTCCGGTTCTCCACACTCACCATACGAAACACAGCAGCATTAAGCTGCTTTTTTACGCTGGTATTCTGTGAGAATGTGGTCCTTCCCCAGTCGTGCTGACCCATTCGTATTACAACCATAAAATAGCCACAGTGTGGCTCTACCATGTATAAACTACCATTTAGTGGTACAATCCTGCCACTCAAAAACCTTTTTCTTCTTGTTGATCATTCAAGTTATACAGGTAGCCCATTATTCCTGTCAAGTGTAAATGTATCATATTTATGTTTGCTATTGTGTTGGATTTATAGGTCTACAGAGAATGAGGTGATATCAACAGAGGCTCAGTTGGTGGCAACAGGTCCTGGTGCAGTCCGTTGGCTTAACCAGAAGTACGACTTTGTTGTGAGAAAACTGCAATTGAATTATGGTAAGATATTTGCAAATACATGAACACAAAGCATTGCTGTGTTGTGATAATGTAGAGAATCGATCACTCCCATTTTGCTTCAATATGATGAATGCTCCATTCAGATTATGAGCAATCAACCTACATACTTGCAGATGTAGATTGATTGCTCATAGTCAGCCAACCCGCCAAGCGATGCAATTATGGTGAATGAAATAATAAATAAATAATGTCCTCCGGACTGAATTTCAGTCATGACGGCCAGTCTCAATGGAGACTAGCCACCGGCGAAGGACAGTATTATAGTGCTCAAGTGTACGCACAAGCACAGGTGCATTTTCTATTCCCTCATTCTGATAGTATGATGGGATGGTAAACCAACACCACCGGAGAGAGATTAGACACAGGCCCAATGACGTTATGTGCTTTCCGAGGCACAAGGGTGAGACACCGCCAACTTCTTGACTTAGGGCTGAGAGACTGAGAATTTCTTGATGGAGAAACTCAATAAATGATTTTTTCGGCCCGAACTGGGATTCAAACCCGCGACCTCATGATCAACTGTCGCACTACTACAGCCACTAAACCAACGAGGCAGTCAATATGGTAAATAACCCCCTATGAGGCAAGTATTTAAGTCTATTGTAAGTTCTATTACAGATGCCGGTGTGAAACTGATGTACTCACTATCTGGGTGCATCCAGTGCGTATATCTAACTACCCCCAGTATGCAGCTTGCGTTCAATGCAGTTCCTCAGTTTCTATGCATAGAAACGGGTGAGTTTAGCCTAGTAAATAATTGTTAAATCTTTAGAACTTCTTAGTTAGTCCTACTTTGTTTGTAAACTATTTAGTTCCTCACTAAGTAAGGAAAAACACTACATATTATGAAAGAGATGTCATGTGTTTATGGGGACTTTTCAAGTAAGGCAGAGACTCGATTGAAGACAACTCAGGCCGAATGATTGAGACAATTTCCTAAGATATCGAAAAAGTTGAAAAATTAAAAATTGCGAATAAAAAACAACTTAAAGTAAAAATGAAACAAAGAGCTGATGATCTTCAGACTGCTGAACAAATTTTCTTGTAACATAGCTAAGAACACTCGATTAAGAAACCTTTCAAACGAAAAAAAAACAAATCAAAATCAGTTCATTCGTTCAAGACGTTCCACAGACAGACATACAGATACACACTACAAACATATAACACCCCTCTGTTTGCGTCGGGAGTTACAAAGAAGGGGAAAGTGTGCACCTTTCGCACGACAATGCACCTGTTCACAAGAGTTATGTTGTGATGGCTTCCTTACAAGTGCGGCTTCGAAACTTTAAACCATCCTCCCATAGTCCAGATTTGGCCCCATCGGATTATTGTTTGTTCCTAAATATAAATATAGAAATATAAATAGATCCCAGTAAAGTGTAATAGAAAATTTATTAATATAAATTTAGATTTATGAGGTAGAATTACGCTGTAGCTGTATTCTCACAGAATACCAGCATAAAATAGCAGCTTAATGCAAAATGTAGAGAACCAGAGAAACGTTTCACTGGAATCGACCCATTCCATCTTAGCCCGCAGGGGTGACAATGCATCTGCATTGTGATTCTTAATCAAGGATAATGTAGGTGTGGGCCACAGCATCCACGTATCATCAGGTGGACTGTGTGCTCTTTTGTCACCCTTAAAAAATAAATTGCAATAAGAGTGGGATGTATTTACTCATAAGACGCCTGTCTAGAAGTCTGTCTGCGTACCACTCTCTTTTTGACGCCAAATAGTAGTACTTGCTATGTTCCGGTCTGAAGGGTGTAAGAGCCAGTATGGTTATAGGCTGTGTTGCATTCCATCTTAGTCCTCAGAGGTGACAATGCATATGTAGCCTTCTTGGATTAAATTTAGCTTAGATGGAGTAGCCACATACCATCAGGTGGACTTAGGGTTACCAACTCTCGAAAAGACCGACCCGGGAGAATTTTATGTAATTGAGTACATAATATGAATGAAAGAAAATTTCAATCATTTATTAATTTTTAAATTTATATTTACTTTGTATTCGAGCAACATCTATTACTTGTCGATTTCGCAAAGCGAGTGTGAGCGACGGATGCGTATAATTTTTGGAAAAGCCTGAGAAATTATTGCACCCCGGGAGGTCGGGAGACTAACCATTATTACCGGAGTCTCCCGGGCAGTCCGGGAGGGTTGGGAACCCTAGGTGGACTGTAAGTTCTTTAAATCAAAATACAGTGTAAACTCTATATAACGACACTCCCGAGACTGTGCATATTTTGACTTTAGAGTTGTCGTTAAATGGAACTAGGAAAAATTTGTATTAGAAAAAGTTTATTCCAGACCAGTGTTAGTAATTATATAAAAACAATTGTTAAATTAACGCTATTGTGTATAATCTGTTATTTTCATCTGACGTCTTTTGCTGCAGCAATAATTGTGTTGTATTGTTTTACTTATTTTTTTCATGTCTTGCGATATTTATAGTTTGAAAGTCTGTGAGCAACTAAATATATGATAACGTATAGATAATCCATGACTCCTACTCATCTACACATGCAAACTATCTCAATTTGTAAACAATACAACGCTTTCTTAGAGAGTTTGGTATGTATGAAGCCGACAGTGGAGTTTATTATGGGCTAATCCAACAAAAGCCGAGTGATTTCGACGCTTTAGAGAGTTTGTCATTGAAGTGTAAGTAAGTGACGGTACATGGAGCTTACACTGTAAATATATTACTTTTATTTTTTTTAGGTATAGAGTTCAACAGCAGTATGTCGACTGTAAATGGTTCTGGTACATCCAGCATCAAGCACAATGTCACCCTATTCCTTGCCGAGGATGGAAATGGGAAATCGGTCATAGTTAGTGCAGGTATGTGTTTAGTAATTGTATAATGCCTCATTCAACATGATAGAAACTATCACCTTATTTCTTCTTTGCATAGAGATGTTATAAAGGCATAAACAATATGTAAACAAATAGTGTCCGGTTCTTGTAGGTATTGTGATATGATGCTGCTCATGCATTCCTTTTTTTTAAGAGAATAAAATAAATAAATTACAAAAATTAAATTAAATCAATGGTAATAATGTGTTCAATGATACCATCTTGTAAATGGTGTTGCAAGATTTTAATAAAAGTCCAAAGTTTTAGCAAATTGTAGTAAGATAATTGATAGAATCAGGCATTACTTTACGGAAATCCATTATAGTAAAGATATTAATAGTTACTTTGCAACCATCCGCTCAATTAACCTTTAATCGTACCACGCCCGCCGTAACAAAAAACAGCTTTGTACCGGGGCCTCAGGCGGCGCTTGTTATAAACATTTATATTTCTCACGACCTTTCCTTTATGTTTAAAGTGGTTTTAGTAACAGTTATTTGAAGCCGATAAGATTTTCGATAAGTAGAAACAATAACCATAACATTTAAATGTTTATTTTATTTTGTACAGCTCTTTGTTTCTAACAGATCTTGATAAAGTATACTTACTGACAATAAATTTTATTTTATTAATGAAATATCATAAGTTTTTATTTTATTTTTATGTTCTTACAATCAATACAACATATTCTTCCTAAATGAACCGAAATTATGCATGTAATAATTATAATAATTCTACTTTTTCACTTGCAAACATTTGCTAAAAATTCGACAATAGACAGTTTGCGCGCGTTTTGTAAACTCATTTTCAAAACCTTTTTTGTGTATATATTTTATAGCGTCTTCCTTTATTTTTCTTATACAATCATATAGATATAACATTCAGCAATTCCTAGTAAAAGTATTTACTATGGTATTCCAATAAGAAATATACTATTATTATCTTATTAGAATATTATTAGAAATCTTGACCGTTATGAATGGTTCTCGTAGAGGTTTTTTGTTTCTACTTTTTTATCAATTGAAACAAAAAAGTTACTGTTTTTGTAACTTAAATCATTCAAAAACATTACGTAGTAAAGATAAATAACATTACTTACAGTTTTTTTTGAAAGAAAATCCAACTAAAATCACAATCACAAAACTTCAACGATTACGCAACCAACCGCACCGGCACGCAAAAGCGAATGGCTGTTATATTTGATGTTGTCTATGTAACCGAGTGAATATAATGCTACAGAATATTCTTTAGTTCGTTCAGAATCGAATGAAATAGTGATCAATCGAAAATATACTGTATTTTTATATCAATTAATGACGAAAATAGCAGCACGAAATGCGGACATGCATACATGTCCTCGGTACTTAGCGGTCACAAAACTTGATCTGTCAACATGTCCACGGTACCTTAGGGGTTAGGACACCCATGGGAAGATATGGGGTAGTGGATATTCTTAACCGCCACTACACGGCGAGTCACTACAGCTGATTATCAATGCCTGCAAGTTTCACAAAACTTCAACGATTAAGCAACTAATTAAATAAAATGATATGTATTACCTAGTTTGAAGAAGAAGCACACATTTTTAAGGAGGTGCGTTCTTCAAACTAGATAAGAAATTGTAGTCAAACAACATGAAGGTTTTTAAAATAACAATCATATTTTTGTATTAATTAAAATTATGGTATTCTAATTTTTTTTGTAATGTCATTATGGTACTTTTTCATTTGGTATTACCTTTCGGATCTGACAGGGTTTTTTCACATATTATATATTATGTTCTTCTGCTGGGCACGGACCTATAATTTCTGAGAAAGTTATGGAGCGATTATATCGCCGCGCTGCGTTTCATCATGATGTTTTCCTTCACCGCCGAACATGTGGGAAACCTGATTTTAAATTTCAGTTTTATAATTTTTCGGTAATGCACTTAGAGATATTTCAAAGACAGTTTTCAACTCATAATATAAACCCCTCAAAAATGAAATAGGGCATGTGCCCAAATGTGGGATGTGTATATACGGCGTCCATCCATTATAGCCGATCAAAGGTCCAGAGCTAAACATAGGCCTCGTCCATAAATTGCCTCATGGGGGCCACATATTTGCCACCTTTAAATTTTTTGTGTAAAGAAATATTTATTTCTTTCTTTTATTCAGCTGTTATCAAGGAGATGCTGCCCATCTTACCTCTATCGCCTCTTACGACATCCACGTGATAATGGGTATTCTTACACTGCCACTACATGGTAATAAAAGTAGGCAGTAAAATTATTTTTTTTACTTTACACATCCTAGCAGGGTCTATTAAAACGGACAATTTTTACAAATTGCTTTGACCTTAACAAAAGTAAAGTAAAGTTTCGGCCTATATACGTCCCACTGCTGAGCACAGGCCTCCCCTCATTTATGATAGAGGGTTTTAGGGCAAGGAAGTGTCCGCCGCGCTCCCCAATGCGTGTTGGCGAACTTCACATGTCTTAGAAATATTTCTTTTTATCGTATTCATCAGACATGCAGTTTTCCTCACGATGTTTTCCTTCACCGCCGAGCACGTGGTAAATCAGCACTTAAAATTGCAATTAACAATTTCATTGGTGCCGACGGGGATCGAAGCCGGGTTACTCGCGTTCTGTTATATTACAGCGAGTGTTAACCATCTGAGCTACCACGGCTCTTAACCTTAACAAACAATGGCGTAATGGCAGATAGTGGGCCTTTCCCATTCTATAGAGGATTTGCAAAACACGTCTCAGAACCTCTGACGCTGTAGCCTGTCACCAGTCTGGGTATTTTATATCTAATGTAAACGAGGTGGTTATAACGCTATCTCTTGGGGTCATAAGATTTTTCTAGAATTTCGAATAGTCGCTTCTTTTGACACCCACGGTACTAAATCAGGCGACATTTATGGCGGCCGGGTTGCGGATCGCGTACTTGAAGTTTACAGCGAGCGCTAAGCCCGGTTCCGGTAGCTTAGCTTGGTTAACCATGTGCTCGGCGGTGGAGAAATATCTCGTGAGGAAAAACCTGTATGAGAAATATAATATATAAAAATATATTTCGAAGATATGAAGTCACACGCATTGGGGAAATGCAGCAGACATTATTTGCCCTAAAACCCTCTCAAAATTTTGCAGCAAAAGGCTGTACTTTACTTTTACCACCACAACATGGCAATTAAATTGTTATCTCATTGAATCTAAAAACGAGCTAAATTACTAAACTACGAATTTTAATTTGCATGTTTTGTTTTGTCATCAGGCATATCAACACTGATTGGTGAGGATCTCACGTGGCTGCTGGATACCTTTAAGTCCTGCAATCCGGCATGGCGACAAGTGCGATGTGTCGTGTGTGATCCCACTAAGAGTGAACAGGTGACTAATATTTTGATAGTATGGTTCCGATGCGTTAATAACTGAGTGGGTGGAGCAAGCCATCTCTCTGGTGGTCCGGTGTCAGAATGTAGAGAAGAAATTAAGTCAGTAGTTAATTAAAAAAACTTATATAAAACACAGCAGCATCATGCTGCTATTTGACGCTGGTGTTTTGTGACAGTACGACACTAGTACAAAACACCAGTGTCCAAACACAGCGACCTTCTTCAGTTGAGTTAATCCATTCATGCAACAGCAATAATACTATATATATATATATATATATATATATATATATATATATATATATATATATATATAATAAAAAAATGATAATACATCTACAGTAGATCTACCTTATTTAAGTTGATAATGAAGAGGCGTAAAGATACATTGGCTTTTTTCGCGGGAGGGTGATAAATTTATAGTCCACCTGAAAAGTGGATGTTGTGATCAATATTTATATCTATCTTCAATTAAGAATCAAGGATGAAATGCTTCTATATGTCCTATTGCTGGGCACAGCTCTGTTAAGTCTAAGGGCAAGGCAAAAGCTGCTGTTTTACGCTGGTATTCTGTGAGTGCCTGGTCTTACCCTGGTCAATCCAACCCATTCATGCTGCAACCACAATATACCTGCAGCATGGCTGTTTTTCTTCGAATTTCACACCATATATATATATATATATATATATATATATATATATGTGTGTGTGTGTGTGTGTGTGTGTGTTTATATATGCATAATATATACATGTATATACGTACATATACATATATTAATTTTCTACAAATATTTAAATTTATTATCGGCTTCCTTTCATAATTTGTTATTAATTCACCCGAAAATTGACAAAAGATGTACCATAAAATGAATTTACAATATTCACTTTAAACGTAGAAATTTTAATGTATTGAACAAAATATTAATTCATAAAATACGGAACGTAACTGGCTATGAGAGAAAGAGAGAAAAAAATGTGCGCGCGCACTGCTCTCTCTTGCTTATATCTCCCACTCAACTCCCGTTCGCCTCGCCCGATCACACTTTTCGTAACGCTTTCGTCACGCGTTCGCCAGCTTACTCCCCAAGTAAAGAAGTTGTATGTCAATAATATTTTGTTCTAGGAGGTGCGTGCAGCTTTCCCCGGGGCACACATAACGTGTTCCGTGTGGCAGGCGTCGTGCGCGGCTGCCAGGCTGTGCGTGGAGACGGCCCGGCGCGAGGACTCGGCGGCCGCGGCGCTGGCCTCTCTCGCACTTGATGATGTCGCCGCCCGCTGCAAGACATACGCACTGGCACTACTGCGGGGAGACCACACTCCAGCACAGCTGCAGGTTGCTTGAAGTGCCATGGATTTTGTTGGTGTTTTGTTATTCTAAGTGTAATATATCAAAAGTGTACACAATGGCTATCAGCTATCATTCAAACCCAGAGTTCCTCCTAATTTTTGGCAACATTTTTGCCAATATTTCTTTTTTATAGGATAGGGTGACAAACGAGCACACAGTCCACCTGATGGTAATTGGTTGCTGCGGCCCATAGACATCCACATCGATCCTCAGTTACAAATCAAAATGCAGATGCGTTGTCACCCATGAGGACTAAGATGTAACGCCTCGTTTCCAGTAAAAAGGGTCTCCGGCTTTCTACACTCACTATACGAAGCACAGCAGCATTAAGCTACCATTTTACGCTGGTATTCTGTGAGAGCGTGGTCCTGCTCCGGACGAGCTGACGACCTATTCGTGCTACAACTATTTTACTAATATAATTGGAGCATGGCACTACCACATATAACATTTTTTAAAGTATCATAAAGTTCCTTTAAATATGATTATATTATAAAAAAATATTATATATTAATATTTAGCAGGACAGCAATTAAAAGCAACTGATATAAGCCTGTGTCCTGATTTAAAATCTGTAGTACATACATAAACACTCACGCCTGTCACCCAGAGGGGTAGGCAGAGACTACAGACTTCCATTTGGCACGATCCTGACACACCTCTCTTGCCTCCTTCACATCCATACACCTACACATACATGCTCGTCGGTTAAGGGTACTCCTAATTTGGCCCGTTTTCAATAAATCGCCAATTTGGTCGATAAATTTTCGCCTAGGATGTCCATTTCCGACTCTGCCATTCACTTCTGCAACATAAATTTTCTTTACATCACTCTTTCCTCATTCATTCTTTCCACATGACCAAACCACCGAAGCATTCCTTTCTTAATCCTGGTCACAACATCATCTTGCAAACCACACTCTTCTCTTATTACACAATTTCTTACCCTGTCATTCAGATTCAGCCCTAACATACTCCTTAACGACCGCATTTCTACTGCGTTCATTCTACTCTCGTGCTTCTTCTGCCACACCCAGCTTTCACTACCATACGTTAAAGTAGGGACCAACACAGCATTGTGAATTGCCATACGTGCCTTTTTCGACACATTTTGACTCTTCACAATAGAGTGTAGAGCCCCATTTACTCTATTTCCTGCATTCACTCGTCGTTCTATATCCTTATATATCTCCCATCCCTGCTAAATACGCAGCCCAAATATACAAACTCATCTACTTGCTCGATCAACTCCCTTTCTATTCTTATTTCACAAATCGTTTTACTTTCTTCTCTTTCAAAAACCATAACCTTCATCTTACTTGCGTTTACTTTCATACCCCTTTCTTTTAATGATCTGTTCATTAATGTAACCATCATTTGCAACTCGGCCGCCGACGACGCAAGGATAACTTGATCATCGGCGTACAAAAGGCATTTGACGGTTAACTCCCCATTCTTAATCCGCATTCTTCAACTTTCAAATTTTGCAAACAACTGTCCATAAATAGGTTGAACAGCCACGGGGAAGCCACACAGCCCTGTCTGACACCTTTATGGATGTCAAACCAGTCCGAGTAGACCCCGTTGATCCTAACACAAGCACTAGAGTCCCTATAAAGAGACTCCAATGCCTGTATCAAGCCAGCGCTCAACCCAAATGAGTTCAGTGTTTGCCATAGCACATCCCTATCCACTATCCACAAATCTGTAGTATTTCTATTTTAGTTGTTTATCTGATCTTTTCTTAAATTGGTTTATAGTTTGTGCTGATATCACTTATGATGAGACTTTATTCTATTCTAGTACCACTCTTTAGCTAAAAAAGTGCTTGTGTTACTTATTGTGTTTTGAAAATGTCTTTTAGTATCCAAAATGACACTTGTAATCAATTTTACGCCTTACTTGGTAATATCAAAGATAGATTTTATCTCTTGGAGATATAAGAACTAATGTGAAAGTACTATTTACATATTCTGGATTTGAATACGGAACTTGCAACAAAATAGTCTGGTATGCTAACACGTTAATTAATATATGATTGGGGAAGGATGAAACGGCGGCTCACATGTTGCTGATATGTCCGGAGGTCGCTGTATACAGGGCTAAACATCTGGGCACGCCGGGATCGCTCCCCGAAGTTGCTTGCAACATCAAAGGACTGTTGAACTTCTTCGGGATAATTTCATGGCTGGAATAATCACATTATTCCTGCCCACACACAAATAAGGGCTTACACGTGACGTTGCGGTAAACAGCCCTTCGTAAACTAAACATTAATATAACCCGTTGTACATTGACTCATGTTCAAAAAGAAGACGCAGGTGCTTCAACAGGTCCCTCATTACCAGTAATAAAATAGAAAAAAAAACGAGTGCGCTTATGACCACACGACTATAATAAAACTTCTTTAGCTCCATCTGTAAAAAAATATATATATATATATATATATATATATATATGTGTGTGTGTGTGTGTGTGTGTGTGTGTTTATGCATAATATATACATGTATATACATACATATACATATATTAATTTTCTACAAATATCAAATATTTAAATTTATTATCGACTTCCTTTCATAATTTATTATTAATTCACCCGAAAATTGACAAAAGATGTTTAAATGTATTTACAATTTTATTCACTTAGAATAAAATTGTAGAATTTTTAATGTATTGAACAAAATATTAATTCATAAAATACGGAACGTAATTGGCTATGAGAGAAAGAGAGACTAAACTAAACCTATATTATGATTTATAATAATACCTACATGGAATCGTCTAAAATGGATGAGCGATTTATTTGCAGGTATTAAAGCGGGGCATTATCGGCACTGGTGCTGGCACCTTGAGGCTGTGGGAGCTACTGACCCGACCAGGTGGTGCTGTCAGCAAGCTGGACTCCTGGCTGGAAGCGGATAATTATACAAATATATTGCATAAGGTATTGTTTTTATTTTATTTATAAATAAGGTCTTCTATAGCGGCCTGTAACTCTGGTTTTCACAAACAATTCCGGCTCAAACTCCACAATTTTAAAATTAATTCTATAGTATATTATGCTAAACAAATTTTTATTTTATACATATTTTTAATTTTACAATAATGAGTATAACAATCCGCTACCAGCGTTTTGTGGCTAAACTGCTATGATTTTTATGTGATATGGCACCAATTGGAATAGACTTCTCATATTTATATTTAGAACTTTCTAGAACAGTGAATCATGACAACCTATCAAAAAATGCGGAAACTCCGACACAACACCCAAAAAATAAAACCAATTCTTCATATATATGATGACAGAGATAACATGGATAAAATTTACAATATAAATACAACTTAATTATTGGCTCAGCAGGTAATGTCAACCCAAATAACAGAGTATACTCAAAGAGTATATAATCACTAATATGGATTAATACACTTTTCATATGTGGTAGAGCCATGCTGCAGCTATATTATGATTATAGCACGAATGTGTCGGCTCGACCGGAGAAGGACCACGCTCTCACAAAATACCAGCGTAAAATAAGAGCTTAATACTGCTATGTATGGTGAGTATAAGAGATCTGGAAACGAGGCATTCCATTTTTGTCCTTTATAGTCCAGTCCAGAGGGTTGACAACGCATCTGCGTTATGATTTTTAATCGAGAATAAATGTAGATGTCTATGGGCTACACCATCTACTTACCATAAAAAAAAAACATTTTGGAAATTGACATGAATCTATAGTTGACGGTACGAGTCGTGAGCACAAATGACCTATGGTGGAGGTTGAGCCAGCGTAGGTACACTGTCGGCCAAAATTATTTGGTACCTTTGTTATTTCAATTCGTAATTGAATATTTTCGCTGACTTTTTTTCGAAATCCTGTGTCTTATAGTACATACGTTGTACAGTAGCTACGTAGACATTAGTCGCCTCAGCGGTCTGTTTATAAATGTCTATCATGTTTTTCGCAATACATACATAATTTTTTCACGTAACAAAACACTAAATAGACCATTTGTCGGGATTGTCTAATTAACATCGAATTCTTCCTTCTTTGCATATTTAGGCCAAAATCTGTATGCTCAAATTATAACCAAAAAAAATAATTAACAACAAGAAATATCAAAAACAGTTAAAAACAAGAAATACACAACAATTAACAACGAGGTAACACTACAATTTAACAAAAATAAACTAATTAAAAAGTTATCGCTAAAATTGCTCTCAAGTGTACGGTAGTCGAATGATACCTGCGAACTCAATAGACGACGAGAATCTGCTGAGGAACCAATCACGTTGAGCGTCAGCGTGGTCAACGTCATATCGAACAATAAAAAGTGTGCTCACGACTCGTGCCGGCAGTTATAGTTATACAAATAAAATAAGGATTTGTGATCTTTTCATTTTTCTTACACCTTATTATTTTTTAAATTCCCATGCAATGAATACTCCTTACAACAAAAAACACTCCATCCCTTATATTGTATTTTAAAGTGCATGAATTTTAAAGATAAATTTAATTAATGTTATTTAAAATATTTATTTTAATTTTATCATTATATCCTGTCAAAGTCTACAGCTGAAAATACGCCATATGTTTGGCAAGCGGGTTGGCAAACTTAATTTTAATTTTTGTTTATCTGTCATCTATCGGGTATATGTTGCTGCCCATATTCCACTACACGGTGGCAGGTAATATTTTATTTTATTGCTTAATAAACTTATCTTTGTCAATTCCAGGGCTTGGAGAGGCTTGTGACGAAGTTCCAGACGATGGTTCGCAATCAGATGCAGCCTGACGAGTTTGTCTCATTGTTCTTCAATGTCGCCAATCAGTTGGAGGATGAGAGAAGGAGTTTTGCCATCAGTCGTCTTAGGGTATGTGTCTTCAATTCTCTTTTCTTTCTTCAGCAGCTCCTTATAAGTATACTGCTGGAAATATTTCATATGTGGTAGAGCTACGCTGCAACTATATTATGTTTGTGGCACGAATGGGTCGGCTCGACCGTGGAAGGAAGGATACTGCTGTGTTTCGTATGGTGAGCGTAAAATACTGGAGCCCTTTTTTACTGGTATATAGGCATTACATGTTAATTCTCACGGTTGACAGATGCGTTATCTGCATTTTTAATTCGCAAATGAGCTGTGGACTGTAGCTTGCTTTTAATCCTTATATAGATAGTTCTTATATTATATAGATAGTTATTTACCATATGAAAACACAACTATATAATATGTTGCATGTATCAATCCTGCTCAGTCACACATCTCAACACAGTGAACTAATTGCCGAACATTCGGTAATTTTGCCGAATATTTGGCCCGTTTTTAGTATTTACTTCAGATGTAAGTAAATGAGATAGTTATAGACACACAGCCAGAAACAATAATATTTTTCTAATACTTTATAAAGTTACTACGGGATTATATGAGATAGTGGAATCTCCATGATCATATATGGTTATTATTTCCTGTTTATTCTAGTAATACAGTAATATGGGAATAACATTATTTAAAAACAAATTTATGTCATCATCATCATCATCATTACAGCCCTTCACAAGTCCACTGCTGAACATAGGCCTCCCCCAAGTAATGCCACAAAGCACGGTCCTGAGCCACCTGCATCCATCGACTTCCTGCATGTCTTACCAGGTCGTCACTCCATCTAGTGGGGGGTCGCCCTACACTAAGTCTACCGGTACGAGGCTGCCACTCGAGAACCTTTCTTCCCCATCGGTTATCGGTTCTTCGAGCTATATGGCCGGCCCATTGCCACTTCAGCTTACTAATCCGTTGGGCTATGTCGGTCACTCTGGTTTTACTGCGGATATCCTCATTTCTGAGTCTATCACGCAGAGAAACTCCGAGCATAGCCCTCTCCATAGCTCGCTGAGCGACCTTGAGCGTCCTCGTCTCTGATCCGTAAGTGATCACTGGCAACACGCACTGGTTGTACACTTTAGTTTTCAGAGATTGAGGTATACCTGACGAGAAGATGTGTCGTAATTTCCCGAACGCTGCCCAGTCGGATTCAAATTTATGTAACAATTATAAATTCATTAAAAAGCCAACTATACTGTAATGTTGCCAGAATTAATATTTTTGTCGTCATGTTTTCGCAGTATCTTTCTGTCGTTTGCTGTCAACAAAACTTCCCTTATTTTACAGGATATGGAAACACTGAAGCAGTCCCCAACGGACACCATCACCCAGTACGCGTACAACCTCATGAGCCATCAAACGAAACTTGCGCAGCGCTGTTTGGATGATCGCACTAGCAGGTCAGTTTCCCTACTTTTCTAAAGGAGAAGAAATACAGCTTGAAATGATCATCATCAATACAACCCGTTACAAGTCCACTGATAAATATAAGGCGCCCTTAAGGAAGGCCTCAAGCACGGTCTTAGCCACCTGCATTCATTGATTTCCTCCATCTCTAACCAGGTCGTCACTTCATCTAGTGGAAGCCGCCCAACACTTCAGTTATCAGTACGTGGCTACCACCTTTCTTTTAGGTTTTAAATGCTGCATGAAAGAATATGGAATGTTGTTTGTTGTAAAACCAACAAATTGTTTTTATATGTGTCATAATAGTCTGCAGTTGAAGTCGTTTTTATTTTAAAAAAAAAACTATACTCTGTGTAAGTATGGTACGCTTCACTATAATGGCGATTGTAGAAGTAATAATTAGTGAGCAGTACAAATAAAAGTAAGTTTATAGAGTTTATTTATTTATTTATGGTTTATTTGCACACCGAGTACAAAAAGGCGGACTTAATGCAACAAGGCGTTCTCTGCCAGTCTACCTCCAGGCTAAGCAGAGAAGATATTGTGGGTTATCTATAAGTAGACACACATTACATATTGCGATACACATAAACGTAATTATACATATATATATATATTATTATATAGATATACATACAAGATATATAAATATATACATACATAATTAAATATAGCTGTTTCTGATTTAAACACCTATAAAATATTTGAAATATAGTTATTTTGCTTCCCAAAATCTTAACATTGATCAAGAATTACAAATTCTTAAAGTTCAAAATTATTGTAATGAAATTCGTCATCACTCCCCTTTTTGACATATATTTTTTTTTAAATAAAACTAGGTTTACAGATTTTATCGCGTATATTACCCTATTTTATATTCCTGACGTTTCGAGCACTTTAGAGCACCCATGGTCACAGGGGCTGAGGTGCTCAACTTCCCAATATCATGGTTAACCTTGGCTAACTCCAGATTAAAATTATTAATTTTTGTTCCGATCTATGCAGTATGAACTTACAGTATCTATATATAAAGTCTTGTAGTTGTGTGCTTGGATTGGAATTTCATTTTATTATATATATATGATCTGCCCTACAACTCTCAGAAATGAGTGGAGGCCTGGGAAACCTGGGAGTTGTACATATATATACATAGGCTGTAACTTTAAACTTTTTTTAACTTTAACTATAGGATCCCAAGCAGATGGTAATACCCAGCCATCTTTTCTATTAAAATTAGGATTTTCTTTTATTTCAATAGGAATCATCCTTGGAAAGAATTGGTGTTCTTTAGTGAAGATTTGTGGTCTATCAAAGACTGCAGACTTCCCGGAGCATTGATTTTTCACATTAGCCATGTTCTTTAATTGCGGGGTTTTTATTTTATTTAAGTATGTATGTAGTGTTCTCATAAATATAAGAAATCATTGGGTGCGTTTGGCAGAAAAAAGCGCTAGCAAGCGCTTACAAGCGCTGAAATAGTTTTTGGCCAGGACACGATTGACACTTCAGTAGCGCTGACACAATCCGCCATTTTGCTTTTTTATTTTGTTTGTTTTGAAGTAGAGTTTATAAGTTGTTTTGTGCAATATTAGTTTTAAGTAATATAATGACACGAATAAACATATATATGTTATTAAAAATTCATGATTGATAAGTTTTTAATATGAATACTTTAGAACCATATATTTAAACTATGTTAGGTTCCCCGTTTAAAACTAACTTCGTGTCCTGGAGGAAAATAGCTACTTACGATTTGAAAGCGCTTACCGCTTACGATCGCCATTTTGCTTACAAGCGCTTGCTAGCGCTTTTTTCTGCCAAACGCACCCATTATGTAAAAAATATGATGTTGCTTTTAGGTATTGTAATATGATTTGTTCACATAATCCTTTTCAGAGAATAAATAAAAAAAACCCCTGCAAGAAATTAAAATATAATTTATAATAGGGAATTTAACATACAGTGCACTGTTGTTGCTTTGAAAAAAAAAACATAAACATAAACAGGGCATAAACAGTTATAGGGTGGTAATTGCCCGGACTGATACTGAGTCTTGCTGCAGTTATATTAGTAGTATAGTTGTAGCACGAATGGATCGGCTCGACCGGGGAAGGAACACGCCCTCACAGAATTGAAGTTACAGCCTACATACGTCCCACTGCAGGGCACAGGCCCCCTCTCATTTCTGAGAGGGTTTTGGGGCAAGGAATTATCCGTCGCGCTGCCCCAATGCGTGTTGGCAAACTTCACATGTTTTCGAAATATTAGTTTTTTCTTATTTCTCAGATATGCCGGTTTCCTCACGATGTTTTCTTTCACCGCCGAGCGCGTGGTAAATCAGCACTTAAAATTGCAATTAACTATTGCAAACAAAAATTGGTGCCGGCGGGGATCGAACCCGGCTTGCTCGCGTATTGTGAAATTTACAGCGAGCGCTAACCATCTGAGCTACCACGCCTCTACCCCCCCCCCAGTCCTATGTCCTATGGTAGGTATGATAGGCCATAGCAACAACTTACCATCATGTGGATTGTGTGCTCGTTTGTCACACGTATCCTATAAAAAAAAGAAAAGGAGTCAACCTAATGAACTAATAACAACCATATCATAACTTACAGAAGGCACAGCAGCGCTGCGATATGTAAATACGGCACGTCCACGCAGGAGTGTTCTTGCCTATTCAGCAAAGTTTTCCGTCTTCCATGCCGGCACATACTTATGCTCACCACGGAGTTAAAGGTAGGTCAATCTGTACATTATACAATATTGATAAATTGGAAGTCAAAATGCGTTAAACGGTCAATCCTAAGAACTAAGATGGAATGCCTCAACACCAGTAGAAAAAGGATTTTACTGGTGTTGAGACCATAGAATACTATAATACACAATAGAATGGCTGTCAACTTTATTTTGTACGGGGTTTGGCGAAGCCAAATTCTCTGTCTGTGAAAAAAGCCGATTTGCTGTGTTCACAGACTGAATAAATTTACACATTTTAGACTTTTGATAAATGTTCAAGATCATCATTAAATTTTAATACATATTTATTTCTAAATAGTGTGCAATTTGACATTTTCTAAATAATTTGCATGCGAAATATGGAAACGATTGTAACGTCGAAACACATTTCGTGTTGACATTTATATGTGTGAATTGACATGTTAGTGACATTTTATTGGCTACGCGGGCTCCGCCCACTCCCCCGTTCTATTATGTATGTATTACTGCCTCGTTGGTCTAGTGGTTGTATAGTGCGACTGCTGATCATGAAGTCCTGGGTTCGAATCCCGGGTCGGGACAAAAAATTAATTATTGAGTTTTTCCGTCAAGAAATTCTCAGTAATTGCCCGGAGTCATGAAGTTGGTGGCGTCTCACCCCCGTACCTCGGAAAACACTTAAAGCCGTTGGTCCTGCGCCTCTCTCCGGTCGTGTCGGTCTATCGTCGCATCGGATTATGAGAGTGAGGGAATAGAGTGCACCTGTGCATGCGCATACACTTGGGCACTATAATCCTGTCCTGCGCCGATGGCTAGTCTCCATTGATGCGGGCCGCCGTGGCCGGAATTCGGTCTGGAGGACGTTTTTAGTATAGTATTCTGTGGTTTTTTTATTTATTTTGTTATTACCAAATATGGAAATTAATTTGCTATAGTTGCCTTGCTTGACAAGTGGATTGATTACCACAGTTTATTGTTACTTTGAGTTATTATCAGTGAGATGCTGTTCCCATTTACTGATTTAGTTTTCCTCTGTCGTTTCTTACGACAGCCACAAGACGATGCGGTGTGCAGTGGGTTTTCTTACGTCGTCATTACGCTAGAAGTACTACTAACATATTTTTCTTGGGACTCGCTGTCTTACAGAAACTTATAATTTTAATCTGTCTGTTTTTTTTATAGAATTAGGGTAACAAATGAGCATACAGTTCACCTGATGGTAAGTCTATTTTCTGGGTGTTATCGCTGTTAGTCTATGCGACTCTTACAGCTTCATCTGACACAGGGCCTTACAGGCCACGAGCTAATTAAAAAAGGGAAAGGCAATGAACGTGAGGATGATGATGATAATGGTTTGTGGTTTGGTATTGTTACCAATCATCATGTCGTTTTGTTAGGCGTTATTGAGCTATCTAACCGCTGTCCGAGGGGGGGAGTGCGGACCACCGTCTCTGACTGCTCAGCTCGTGTCGGTCGATGGCCTGGGCGGTGAGAACAGCCCAGGAACGCGGGTGTACGGTGTGTGCTGGAACGCGTGGTGCCGGTCTACGGGTGCGACGCGCCCCATTCGTAATCCTAACAGTGTTTGTCCCAATTTGTGTGGGCGTAGTGTCATGATGGTAAATGGATGCTGTGGCCCATATACATCTACATTTATCCTCGATTAAGAAGCAAAACGCAGATGCGTTGTTACCCCTGAGGACTAAGATGGGCAATGCCTTGTTTCCAGTTAGAAAGGGTCTCTGGATCTCTACACTCACCACACGAAACAGCAGCATTAAGCTGCTATTTCACGCTGGTATTCTGTGAGAGCGTGGTTCCGCCCCGGTCGAGCCAACCCATTCGTGCTACAAACATAATAAGGCTGCAGCGTGGCTCCACCATGTATAATATTACATATTTTAATACACAGTTTATAACTTATACATTTTTTGACTGATTTAGTTATAAAAATTAGAGTGTCCGTCTATCTATAACAGTCTATAAAAGTCCGTAGCTGTACCTTGGCCTCTAATAAATTGCCTTATAATTTTGCCATAGTTGCCATGCTTGTTTGACAAATGCAGTTTTTTATTGAGTATAGGTAGTTGACATAATGATTTCTTATATTTACGCGAACACTATACATGATTAAAACTACTTTTACGGATTTTATCGCGTTTAATTTTACTTTTTATTTACTTTTATTTTTAATTCCCGACGTTTCGGGCGCTTTCCAGCACCCATGGTCACGGGGGACTGAGATGACTGACGTCCCGATGTCATTGTTAAACCCGGAGTACCTTCAGCTTTTTTAATTATTGTTTATGGTCCGATCTATGCAAAATGAACTGACTATGTCCTGAGGTCTTGCAGTGGTATGCTTGGGTTTAGTTTTAATTTTATTGATTATAGGATCCCAAGCAGGTGGTAGTACCCAGCCTCCTTCTCTATTGAAATTAGGCTGTTTTTTAATTTCAATAGCCTCACGTATCATCCGTGGTGGAATCGGTGTTCTTTCGCGAGGATTTGTGGTCTATCAAATCTGATGTAATGGTTGGGTCCGTCTAGGATATGATCACAAACGCAGACTTCCCGGAACGTTGATGCTTCATATGTTCTTTTACGCGGGTCCTAATTGATCTTTTTGTTTGTCCTATATAAGAGAGACCACATTCAATATTCGATAAAATCCGTAAAAGTAGTTTTAATCATGTATAGGTAGTTGATTTGTTATCAGAGGGATGCTGTTGTGCATCTCCTGTTTCAGATTCCGTCTTTCACCTCTTACGATACCCACAGGGCGATATGGGGTAGTGGAAATTCTTCTCCACCAGTACACAGTTTCTGCACTAAATGTTGGACTATAGATGTACAATATACACCTGAATATAAAAAAAAGTTAAAGTTATATGCGGTGGAGCCATGCTTCAGTTATATTAGTAGTATAGTTGTAGCACTAATGGGTCGGCTAGACCGGGCAAGGACCACGCACTCACAGAGTACCAGCGTCAAATAGCAACTTAATGCTGCTGTGTTTCGTATGGTGAATGTAGAGAACCGGAAACCATTTTTACTGGCAACGAGGCATTCCATGTTAGTGACAACGCGTCTGTATTTTGATTCGTAATTGAGGATAGATTTAGATGTCTATGGGCCACAGCAACCACTTACCATCAGGTAGAGTGTGTGCTCGTTTGTCACCCTATTTTATAGAAAAAAAAGTTAAGCCTATATACGTTCCACTCCTGGGCACAGTTCTCCACTAATTTCTGACAGGGTTTTAGGGCAAGGAATTGTCCGCCGCGCTGCCCCAATGCGTGTTGGCGAACGTCACATGTCTGCGAAATATTTTTTTTCTTATTTCTCAGACATGCAGGTTTACTCTCGATGTTTTCCTTCACCGCCCCGCACTTGGTGAATCAGCAATTAACAATTTCGTTGGTGCTGGCGGGGCTCGAACCCGGTTTGCTCGCGTACTATGAAATTTTACAGCGAGCTCTAAACATCTGAGCTAACATGGCTCTCAATATAAATTTATACTTATTTTGATTCTACGTGCTTACAGGTGAAAACGCATATACCTTTCGAGCCCCGCTGGACGGTGCAATATTGTTTATTTGGCTGCGAGACCAACACTGGCACCACCACAACTACAACTAATACCACTGGTAAGTAGGGCTTATTACCCTGATCATTACATTAGGGGGATAAGGGGAAAGAGTGTAAGACTGAAAAAGAGACATCAATTAAAAGGAAAGTACCTGGATGACCGAGCTTTGATTTTTTTTGGAAATCGTGTTTTTTTGTAAATTATATTTAGATACAAATCACATACTGATGAAATATGAATAAATTTTTTCAAACTTCTCGGTCATTATTTTTCGTGTTTAAAAAAATACTAATACTTTACTTTCGTATTCTAATGATAATGTAGCAGTTTTTCATTGCCTAAAAACATGGATAAAACGACATTTTCTAAAAATCAGTCCTAGCTAGATTGATTTATAGCCCCCGAAACCCCCTGAATACTAAATTTCATGAAAATCGTTGAGGTCATTTCCGAGATTCCGATTATATATACATATATATATATATATATATATATATATATATATACATCCCGTAACTTATTATACGTCCACTATGGCCAATTTTGCATATAATGTGGCGTCAACCTGCTTACGACGTCCAATATACTGACGTCAAATAGGAGACTTTGCGCAATGTTCGCCAATTGTCATGCTGATCACAGAAATGTCAAAATCTAAAAAAAAATTGGACGTCCGTTTTCTTCCAATCTTGCTGTACTGAATATTTACGTAGTTCCGCTAATTTTCGTTGCAAAAATAATAGCGCTGCTGTCGATTTGTGAATACTTTCATTTATGGCCGTATTTGACTTCCGCACAAAATTAGAAGATGCGACGTTGCAGTTCCGTCACCGTTGCCAACGTGTTACTTGTATTTAGTGATATATGGTAATGACTGCCTCGTTGGTCTAGTGGTTGTAGTAGTGCGACTGCTGATCGTGAGGTCCTGTGTTTGAATCCCGGGTCGGGCCAAAAATTCAATTATTGAGTTTTTCTGTCAAGAAATTCTCAATAGCTGCCCGGAGTCAGGAAGTTGACGGTGTATCACCCCCTTGCCTCGGAAAGCACGTAAAGCCGTTGGTCCTACGCCTGATCTCTCTCCGGTCGTGTCGGTTTACCGTTTGATACTAATCTGCCTAAAAGAACTCTTGTTAGGTATTTCGTAAGCAACCCATAATTCTGTTTGAATATAAGTTGTAGATATTGACCGGTTTCATAGAAGTTTGTTTTATTATATTGTGACTAATAACCTCTGACTAATAACCTAATATGGTCTGGCGAAGGAACTCATTTTAATATAAGGTTTTACTGCATTAACTGCCGGTAGGTTGTTAATTTGTACAATAGACCGTGCATATTGTTGCTGATATAACTCCGAAAGTATAATTTATTTACTTGATCGTGTTGAGTTTTGGTGCTCTCATTGCATCATAAGGATGAGTGCGACTATTGTACCTAATCTGTACGAAATTACTCTCTACTTAACTAGATTCATTTTTGTAAAAGGCTATTTTTGTTAAATTATGATTTTTTTGTTTAGTTTTGATTTAGTTTGATTTTGCAGTTAGTTGAAATACAATTTAATTTTTCACACACGTTTTCTAAGCTTCTAAGCGTTTTATTATTTCTAGACCGAAACATTTTATAAAACACCAAAATGATTATTTTACACCGCATGGCCTCCCTACACTAAAATAAAAATGAAACAATAGCGAAAAATGTCATTAAAGCAATGATCATTAATGTGTGTCTTATACACAAGGAATTAAAATATAAATATATTCATGGTTTATATGGACGTCAAATTTTATGCGGTATTAAACTTTACCGACAATCTGACGTCCACATATAGAAATATAACTAAATTCAAAAATATGGACGTCAAATATCATTCAGTATGAATGTTTTAGGATTTTCGGACGTCCATATTATTATGTGTACACAGTAATTTAAAGTTGAAATTTTGGCGCACAACGTGACCCAAAAACCGCTACAAACGGCAATATTTATCAAAAAAAGAAATAAGAAAGGTTTTCTAAGCGTTTTATCGTTTCTAGAATGGAGCATTTTATGAAACACCAAAGTGACTATTTCATACCACATGGGCTCCCTACACTAAAATAAAAATAAAACAATAGCGAAAAATGTCATTAAAGTAATGATCATTAATGTGTGTCTTATACATAAGAAATTAAAATATAAATATATTCATGGTTATAGGACGTCAAATATCGTGCGGTATGAAACTTTGCCGATAATCTGACGTCCACATATAGATATATAACAAAATTCAAAAATATGGACGTCAAATATTATTCAGTATGATTGTTTTAGGATATTCGGACGTCCATATTAATTATTATATGTAGCTAAATCTAAGGACACGAAAACAAATTGGAAAGTAAAATTATCTACTAGCACTGAGTACAGTATAAACCGACAAAAATACCAAAATATGCCTTGAGCACTAAATAAATAGTCAACATAAATAAATAGTAAAATGCAATTATCAACAATAACTTTGGACATCGGATATCGAAGAAGTGGACGTCAAATACCACTTATTGTGAATATTTTAGGATATTCTTACGTCCGTAAAATACTCCGTTCAATGTCCATGTCAAGTACATTAATCAACTTACACTAGTTTATTTCCCTATGTTACTAACTATAACCAAAGAAACTTTAATGCAAGCAAGCATAAGCGTGGAAAGTTCTCAATGTACGTAGGTCACAATACGGACGCCAATTAGAGCACGATATGCATGTTTTTAGTAATATAGCGTCCAATATTTATAACAACAAACGTAAACAAATTGTATTTCAACTAACTGCAAAACCAAACATAATATCATAATTTAACAAAGATAGCCTTTCACAAAAATGAATCTAGTTAAGTAGAGAGTAATTTTGTACAGATTAGGTAAATAGTTCGCACTCATCCTTAAGATAGTGATCATAAAAAAGTAAACTCATAGTGAGCGCACCAAAACTCAATACGATCAAGTAAATAAATTATATTTTCGGAGTTATTCATGTAAGCAACAATACGCCACGGTCTATTGTAGAAATTAACAACCCATTGGAAGAATGCAGTAAAACCTTATATTAAAATGAGTTTCTTCCTAAGGTCATATTAGGTTATTAGTGACAATATAAGAAAATGAACTTATTAACTATTAAACCTATCAATATCTGCAATTAGTACTTATTTATAGTAAAATAAATAATAATATAGTCAATCTATAATGTATCACGGCTGGGCAATCCTAGATATTTTTTCGTATTTAGTAAACGAATAACTAGTTGGTAAATTAATCATGATATCTTCTTCTTCTTTCTTTTGTGGCGGTTTGATAAAATTCGCCAATGACGTATTGTGTGGAAAATGAAAGAGTCTGTGATAATACAAGGATTCAGTCCTCCTCTGAGAATTTTGACAAATCTAATTGTTGACTTACCTAAAACAAATATGACAAACACAGGTGTTAGACTCTTACCAGTATGTTAAATGTGACAAGGATGTAAAGTTTCATATTATTAGTATTAATAAAATCACATAAAATATACACAAAAGGAGTACTGGTATATGTTAAAAGAGAATTAAAATCTATAGGTCGAGGAATATAAGGAGGAAGGTAATCATAAAGGGAGGAGGATAATTTGGGACAGTTGAAAAAAATATGGTTTGTGGACCTTCATCTAAGCCACATTCACACAATGAGCAATCCCTTACTCTTATTTTTGCCAGATGTGCATGTGTACAAGCGTGTCCAATTCTTAATCTACAAATGATTGAAGTTGCATGTTTATTTGCTTTGTTAAATTTAAAGAACCAGGGCTTGGGAGGAATAACCGCTTGGATGGCAGCATAGTGCTTACCTTTAACATTTTTGAAAACTTCCCATAATTTATTCCAATTTTCATTCAGTTTCCTTTTAACTAGCAAAATTAGGTCATGTGAGTAAATTAAATTTTGTAGAATGCCATTAGCAATTGCATTTTTAGCGAGTGCATCAGCTGTTTCGTTACCATGGATACCACTGTGGCCTGGAATCCAGGCCACTGAAACAATGGATTCCTTTAAGATGGCATCTGAATAGGGTATTTTTTATTTTAAGAATTAGTGGAAATTTATGTTTGTTATGGAATTGATTGGACAAAATAGCTAACAAACAACTTTTGGAATCTGTGAAAATAACTGTTTTATTAAGATTATGTGACTCTACATATAACAAAGCTTCACTGATTGCAGTTGCTTCACCGGTAAAAGTGGAGGATAGTGAGGGGCATTTAAAGTTAAGAATGATTTTGAACTTAGGAATCCAAACAGCAGCTCCAGTACAGTCTTCATCAGACTGTTTTGAAGCGTCTGTGTACATGACAAGCCAATCTTTAAAGGTGTTTTCTATAATTTCTTTTAATTTCAAATTTGCCATTGGAGAATCCTTTTCTATACCTAGAAGTAGATGAATATCGGGTTGGTAAACAATAGCCTCGTAAGGAACATCAAAGAGTGGATTTATTTTACATTGAAAGATTGGGTAAGGAAGCTGAAGAAAAATTACAAAACTTCTAAACAAGCAGGGAGAGTCCTTATGGGTCCAGTATCGGTCAGATGAGATATACTCTGAAAGAAGATGCAATTTAGGAATTAGGGGATGATCTGAAAGCTGGCAGATCTTAAATAAGAATCTGTCTGAAAGGTATTGCCTTCTTAAGCTTAAAGGAGGATCTACGCACTCAACCTGAAGAACATTTATTGGTGAGGATTTCATTGCCCCTGTAATAATGCGAAGGCATTTCGATTGAATTTTGTCCATTACTTTCAGGGATGATTTATTGCAAGGCTCCAACAGAAAACATCCATAGTCAAGGTGGCTTCGTATTAAAGCATTGTACAGTAATTTCTGAGAACAAGGATGGGACCCCCACCAAACACCAGACAAAGACCGAAGAATATTTATGTTTTTTTTCGCATTTTTGTGTTATATATTCAATGTATAGACCGAAGGCCAATTTCGAATCAAGGATAACTCCCAAAAATTTTACATTGCCTCTAACTGGAATAGGTTGCTT